GGAGGGGTTGGAGTGGAAGGGACTTTAAAGTTCATCCAGTTCCAACCCTGACACCTTCCACTATCCCAGGTTGCTTCCAGCCCCGTCCAGCCCGGCCTCGGACACTTCCAGGGATAGGGCAGCCACAGCTTCTCTGGGAATTCCATCCCAGACCCTCACAGCCAAGAATTCCTTCCCAGTATCCCATCTAACTGCCCTCGGGCAGTTTCAAGCCATCCCCCTTGTCCCAAGTCCCTCTCCAGCTCTCCTGGAGCCCGTTTAGGTACTGGAAGAGGCTCTCAGGTCTCCCTGGAGCCTTCTCCAGGAGAACACCCCCAGCTCTCCCAGCCTGTCTCCAGAGCAGAGGGGCTCCAGCCCTTGGAGCATCTCCTTGGCCTGAGAACCCAACAGATCCCTGCTGCCTCCTCATCCTTAAAGGTGTGAAGTTCAGCTTTTGGGGTTTTTTATTGTGTGTGACTATCTTACGAAGTCCAAAGTTGGACTTTGACCATCCTTATGGGTCCCTTCCAACTCAAGATATTCTATGATTCTTTGTTTTGTAAGGGCACTGAAAGGGCATTTCACTGACACCTTTCAGGATAGGATCAGAAAGAACATCAACTGCCTTCTTTGACACTGTAACCCTATTAATTCAGCAATCCTGTAACCTGCAATCACTCAAGGGTGTTGCAGTTCCCAGGGGAGAGGCTGCACAAGCCTTGCCTGGGAAGCAGCAGCCTAAAACAGAGTTTACCTCTAGCATTCCCAGCTGATTTGCAGTACATCTTTAGATCCAGTTCCCATTAAAACAAACTTCTGAGGAAAGCTCCTAGTACCATCCTCTACAAGCAGCACTAAACAGCTGACTGTTAATCAATTCCAGGTAGCTGGAATTTCCCTGTGCACCTCAGTTTTTAACCAAGAAACCACCAGAAAAGACACACTGAATTTAAGATGAACATCACCAGTTTTCCATTTCCAGCTTTTATTTTTTTCCTCAAGCAAACAATTTGTTAAAATAACCCCAAATCCACAGAGAGAGAACAGCAGTAGCTCCTGCCTCACATACAGAGATGCTCAATAAAGAAGGTTTCATCTCTATTTCCAAACCTTGCTGCTTGCAGGTTTCCTTGGAGATCCTAAATTTTATGCAATCTCTGTTACACACACAGTATTTTTAGGGTTTTTTTACTGTTACAGTGAGATCTGGATTTGGCAGTTTGCCACAAAGCTGAAACCCGTGAACAAGATGAGCTCCAGCAAGCACTGCTGACGTAGGTTTTGTCCCCTTGAAAGGAGGGAGCTGTTCCTGTCAGATCTGACAGAGGGAACAGCCCCTCACATTTAACCACACCCAGCACACAGGTATTCAGCTCCAAACAGAGGCAGGATTATTTAATTTCTAATTAATCAAGCTGTTTAGGCAGTGGGATATACTCTGTTCTGCTGACTCCACTGGGGTCAAGGGATAGGGTCACTTCAGACCACAGCAAACACCTGCTCAACACTCTACACTTTCCATCCACTGTGGTCTGAACAGGGTGACCAAAATACCTAGTCAAACCCTTTTATACTGTTCATTGTGGAAAAAAAAGACACGTACAACCACTTTACTACTTTCTGTATCCACTCAGTGCTGCAGTGAGTCCTGTGACCTCCACTGAGCATTTAACTCTGCCAGCTCATTGTCACTAAGAACCAAACTCAACAGCTCAAAGAAACCAAGAAGACCTCCTCAAGGCAATTAGGAGCATGGTTGAGACATCACCTACCACCCTCCAGGAAAGGAGGAATGCAAAGCCAGGTCACTCTGTGACTGGGGAAGGATCCCCTTCCCCTGGCAGCACCTCAGGCTGGCACTGAGGACACCACCATGTAAGTCTTTTAAAGGCACCCAGTGGTCCAAAAGTTCCCTTCATCACTGGATGGCCAAGGGGACACTGCTCCCTCTGGTAGATCTGGGGGTGCAGCCCTTGGCCACGGAGCTTGTGGTGCAGCCAGTCAGAGCTGAACTGAAGGGCACAGTCCAGCAGACGCTCCAGATCCGAGGGAGCCAAGAGAGAGCCTTGTGTTAGTGGGTGGATCTTGGTCAGGTACAAAATCTCATTCTTAATGATGTTCCCTGGAAAGGGACAGAAATAAGGAGACAATAAGGGTCTTTCTAATCAAGGTAATGCAGACTTCTGGCTCCAATCTGTGACTTCGCCCTCAAGGATCACAGCCAACAATGTCATTCCCTGTTTCAGAGGTGGCATGCAAGGAGTAGACTTAGAGCTGGGATTGGACTGGACAGAGTTCTCTTCCCTCTACCTTTGAAGCAGAACTTGAAGATGACCATGTACCCTCAGCTGGATGAACCAGAAGCCACAAGGCAAAGGAGTAAAACTCTCGGACATGCAGCTCTGGATCTGCAGACATCCTACCCACCTTCCTCCATTTCTTGCTCTGCCAAGTGTTCCCTGGAACTCACCCAGCCCTGAAAAGTATCGTTGGTCTAAGAGGGTGTAGCTGATGGGATTGGGTGCACGGAGGGCATCCAGTGCCCGGCCACGGTGGAATTCCATGGACAGGATGTCAGAAGCAGGATCAGCCCTTGGAGAGGAGCACCAGTGCATTCTGCAGTTGTAGAAAACAAGGAAGCCTCCGCTCTCAAAGTGGAGAATCAGCCTGGGAGAAGCAGAAAAGCAGAAGTGTCTCATCAGAAACATCCTTGAACCATTTGTCCTATTCTGCACCAGGCCACTGTCTCAAGGCAAGGTAGCCTCTTTAATGATTTCAGCCACAAAACCTGATGGTGAACAACTCTCCACAGGTTGTTGGGATTCTTTCTCCTGCCCTGTGGTCCCTGGATGACCAAGGCTCCAGCAGTAGGGTCCACAGATCAGGGAAACCAATGCCAAAAGTAGCACAAAAAACTGCGTCTAAAAATGTTTGCACAGAAATGAAGTAATCCTTTAAAAGACTGCAGGATGTGGTGCAGGGAGTGTGTCCCTAACAAGTACAGCGATTCCAGCTGCCCTAGACATTTGCCATTCATCCAAGGCTTTTTTTAAACACTTAATTGGGAGAAACTGGCATCTTCAGAGCATGATTCAGCCTGGCATCCTAAAACTTCTCCAAGATAAAAATGGTAACAGAGCTGGTACTATGATCCCCAAGCTGGCAGGCAACATGCATCCCACAATTCCACTGCAGATCGAACACACCCCACACCCACTCACACCATCTCTCTAAGATCTCTCTAAGATAAGTGCCCACTTATCTTAGGAATTATCAGAGAAAAATCAAGGCTAAGAGCACCCCCAGGCAAATTTAGTTTGGATAGAAGAGTGCCTCTCCAGAATGAGAGGCAGGGAGAGAGAGGGCTCCACGAAATACCTGGGTACAGGGTCCCTCCAGTCCCCCCTTTTATTGGCTCTGTTTGCTCTGGAGAACTCGTTTGCCCGGACGCTGCCGAACAAGCCGAAGTGGAAGCGCAGCCAGTGGCCTGGACCTTCTGCTGCTTCTGGGGCTTCAGACCTCGAGTGCTGGAGTTCCTGTAGCTCCTCATCCTGGGAATGGGGAGCACAAACCTGTTCTTGCCCTTCCTGGACAGAAGAACCTGCCACAGCAGCAGCCTCTTTCTGCAGCACTGTCTCTTCTGCAGTTGGTCCTGAGGGACTTTCAGCTGCCACAAATGCCAGGTACAAGTTCTTCCCGTGAACCTGAGGAAAGAGGTGGGTTGTACTAAGGATCCATATAGGATCATAGAATCACAGGCTGCTTTGGGTTGGAAGGGACCTTAAAGATAATCTCATTCCAACCCCCTGCCATGGGCAATGACATCTTCCACTAGACCAGGTTGTTCAGGCCTCATCCAACTTGACTTGGAACATTTTCAGGGATATACTGGGGATTTAGAGAGGAACACTTCCTCTGGCTGTTTCCATACAGGTGACTATTTTCTACAGCCTCTTTTAGATAGAGGGCACATCACCCCACCCTGAACACAGAATTCATCAGCATCTAAGCCATTCCCATCAGGGCTGCAGGCATCCTCTCAGCATTCCTTAAAAAACACAAGGTACTTAGATGCCACTCAAATGTAAATCTCTCCCTGAGGCTTCTGTCAGGCCAAAGAGACACACCAGAAGAGACACTCAGGGTTGTGAAATCTGTCATCATTTCTGATTCACCTCACCACCTTTTGCTGCGGGCACTTTGTGCTTCTCAATTTTGCTTCCCACTTTTAATCTGAGCTGGGGCTGCACCAGCGTTTGGCCAGTCAGGTCCAAATCATCATCTGAGGGATGTCAGGCAAGTGAAGCCTCCAGCAGGACCAACCCAGTGTGACCATTTCATATATATATCAACAGCACAGACATCTCAGCTTAGCCAGGGGAAACCCTGAGGGAAACACTCCCAGGTTCTGCACCTTCTATGACCCAGATGGAGGACAAGAGTGGTTTCCCTGAGACTTGTCATCTTTTAGCACAGCTCACCGGGGAGTCCTGGAGCCTCAGGGCATTCAGGTCATTCACGTTGATCTTGCGGCTGCTTCCCCCCACCTTGGCCACCACTTGTCCCACAAAAGGGGAGGTCAGCAGCTGGAACTTCCTCACTGATGGGCCCTCTGGCATCTCCAGCAGTTGTTGAGGGATTAGCAGGTCCTTCTCACACTCTTCCCTAAACTTGAAGGGAAGTTGCCACTCAGAAATACACAAAACCAGTCAGAGACAGAGCTCACCACCATCTCCTCACCCCAGTCTTCTTCCTTAAGTTTCTTTGAGGACCTAGGAGCTGAAGGCGTTTTCATCCCTGGGAATATATGTAATTTAATCAAACACAGCCATGAATAATAACCTGCTCTAACGGCAGTTTTTCACCCCACAAGCAGGAATTTGGACTGGGGATCTCCAGAAGTCTTTCTCCTGGTCTAGTGAAGGTGTCCCTGCCCCAGCACAGGGTGGGATCTAGATGATCTTTAAGGTCCCTTCAACCCAAATCATTCTGTGATTTTATGATTAATGACCCAGAACCAGCACAGGCCAGTGACCTATCTTTTTCCTGATACAGTCACCATGGAAAGTGCTGCTCTGGAGTTAGCACATCTCCACCCCTTGCTTTTCCCACTGATTGCAATGAGATGTAACCAGTTAGGGAGCATTCCTACACTCTACAAACAGCATCTGGGATCAGAAGACTCTGGATGAGGGGGAGATGAAGCAGCACCATCCTACAGCATCCTGTGGCTCCCTGCAGGAAGTCACACCAGTATATAAGGAGTTATTTCTGGCATGAAATCACAGTCACTTGCAGCTCTTCTGAGGATTTCTGCCAGGACTGGGTGTACAGGAAAGCTCAGTCTGGCATTCATCCCATGGTGCCAATTCTCCCAGAGTCCAGCAGTGATCAGAGGCTCAGTTTCAAGCTCCACAGCACTCAGTAGAAGGCTCTGAGGCACAGTTCTGAGACAGCTTCACGTGAAAATCAACAGCAATCCTGTGCATGGTCCCCTACCAGAAAAGCCATTCCCACCTCATTCCAGCATCTCAGCTTCTTCTGCTGCCTGGGCTGGCTCAGAGACAGCAGCCCATGTTTGCATCAGCTCAGATTGACTAAAACCAAAGCTTCCAGTGCCATGTGCTCCTGCCATAGTGAAGGGACAACTGTGAGGAGCAGCAAGGTGTGGGATACCTTCAACAGGAAGCAGGCAAGGCCTGTAAAAGCCTTCCTGTGCTGCAGCACAAACCAAATCCCTCTCAGAAGGGCTCAAAAGGAAAACATGTCAGAGAACATTAATTTAATGTCTTAAATCCAGGTACAGATATTAAGTGGTCACACAAACCAGCTTTACCAGGGTAGAAGACTGAACTTTAGTCCTCTGTCTCCAAGGACATGGGATAATTACTCACAGGCCTGCTCCGGTTTCACCCCAAAAAATCTGCATATTGTAATGGTCAACAGGCAGATTAAAAGACAGCTAAAGAGATACTTGTGCTGCCAAAGGCACCAGAAGAAGTCTCGATCCCTGGAGCAGCATTTGGCTGCTGGACACAGGTCATCCAAGGGGTCTGCCCTGATTATCCAGGCACGGGCTTCATGTCAGGCAGCTGCTGATTCAGTTCTTAACAGGCTCATTGTGAGAGACTGGAAGTGCTGGGCACTCTATAACGTGTTAATGCCCACACTTCCCCAGTTGTAGCCCCTCTGACAGCAGAAAAATTCTCCTTTTCAAGAGGAGAAACTGCCCTGTTCCCCAGGACATCAGAATAACCAGCATCTGCTGTCTCTGATCCCCTTCTCTCCATGGGCCTCCCTACTTCACCTTCTTCCTCTAGACCTACTTCAGTCTCTTCCAAAATGCTCTGCACTCCAAGGAGGAAGAGGAGGGTGACCAACCCCAGCCCTCTGCAGGGCATGACACCCATCTCTCCAGGAACATGACCACCTGAGCTGGTACCTCTACAGGTCTGAGGCACGGAGCCAGGCTTCCAGGAGAAATCCTCCCCCCTGTACGGGCTCATTTCCAGTCCTTGCGCTCAGACAGAAGCCAGGAACCCACAGCAGAACAGAGCAAGGTCAAGGCTGCCCAGGTTCATCTGCCCCAAGCCAGCTCTGCCAGCTCACCTGCACCCAGGGATGGCAGAAAATCCCACTGTGACCTTCCACCCCTGTACGAGGCTCCTGCAGGGATTTCAAGGTGCAGCCCTGACTCTCCACATGCAATCAGAGGGGTGCAGAGCTTCCCATCTTCTCACACTCAGCCAAGCACCAATTTGCAGCTCTCCAAAACAACCAAGCCCTGAATTCCACCCCACATTCTCACCCACATCTCCCCAGGGCAGTGGAAGTACCCACTGCACTCCCCAAAAACCCCACATTCCTACATCCAGCTTTTAAGACGCAGCTCTCCCCAGGCCAACCCCTGTGCATCCATTCGGGGAGGAGGGTGGGCAGCCTTCCCCCCCTACTGCTCCTCCAGGCTCCACAGTCTCCAGTTTCTCTTCCTCTGCCCCCAACCACCTCCCACAGCACTTTCACGGTCTCCCCCACCCACCCCAACAGACCCTTCTGCAACCAAACCCCTTCCATCCACCTACTTTTATGGGGGAGGAGGGCCCTCCCCCCAAATCTCAGGAGAGCTCCTCAGTTGGCTGGTGGGGGAGGGAGTGGGCGGGTTTCAGGTGCTCTCCACCAGTTGTACCGGTCTCGAGGGTCTGGTTGGACTGGGAAGGAAGCTGGGCACCCTGGGAAGGAGGGTGGGTGCTTCTGCGGGGGCTGTGCTCCTGCAGAGGGTGGGGGTGGCTGAGCACAGCTCTTATAAACGTGATTTTGGCTTGAGGCTGTTGCCTCTGAGTTCAGGTGAAAGGATTTAGGCCGAAGAACAGCTGACTAATTGAAAAAATGTTAGTGAGAAGACCAAACCGATAAATCACAGTGTTATTAGTGCCCTGAGGGGCTTTTCTGTTCTGTGCTTTTGGGGGTGTTCCCAGCTCCATGGAAAACACACTGGTGCTTTTCCTCACTTGCATTAAAATCACAGAGTCACAGAATAATTTGGGTTGGAAGTGACCTGAAAGGTCATCTCCTTCCAACCCCCTGCCATGAGCAAGGACACCTTCCAATATCCCAGGTTGCTCCAAACCCCATCCAACCTGGCCTTGGACACTTCCAGGATGGGGCAGTTGCAGCCCAGGGCATTTCTGGTCTATCCTGGCTTTGAGTTGCTCCATTGCTGAGTCTGTCACTTCTGGAATTTGTCATCCTGCATTGGCCATCCCAACTTCTACAGAAGAGGCTCTGTGTGGCTCCAGGGCTTGGGGACAACATTCAGTGTCCTGCAATGACTCATTGCTTGTCTGAGCAATTAATGTACTAAAGATTGTAGCTCTCATTATAATCTAACATTTATGTGGCTACACATTTAAAGGGGAAACAGATATTAGGAATAAATTGTTTACTGTGAGGATGGTGAGACACTGGAGTAGGTTGCCCAGGGAGGCTGTGGCCGCCCCATCCCTGAAAGTGTTCAAGGCCAGGTTGGACAGGGCTTGGAGCAACCTGGGCTAGTGGAAGGTGTTCCTGCCCATGGCAAGGAATTGGAACTGGACGGTCTCTAAGGTTCCTTGCAATCCCTTAACATTGTATTTTTCTATGATTCTGTGACTTGCAAAAACATTTCCTCCATGAGGATGGTCAGATACTGGAACAGGAACCCAGAGAGGTAGCAGATTTTCATCTTTGGGAATATTCAAAACTTGACTGAACAGGGCTTTGAAAAACCTGATCTTTTTCCCTTCTGACTCAAAATCACTCTGTAATTCTATCCTTATGAGCTTCCTGGGACATGACTCACTGCACAATTTCTTCTCCAGGTGCACTTAATATCTTATCATTTACCCCCATCCCTCTCCAAGAAGCCCATGAGGGCAGACAGACTCAAGCAGAAACCTTCTGATTTTATTATCATTGTTTTATTTCCATTAGTTCTAAAGGTGTAGAAGTTACGTGGATTGGTAGCCATACTACTTCATAATAGATATTTTTTTACATCTTTAAATAATTACAGCTTGTTCAGTTGGTTGGTTTCCCTCTCCCCCTTACAAAGAAATGTCTGTTTCCATGAGACTTTCCCAGATGACATGGGAAGCTTCAAACTTTACACATGGGGAGAAAAAAAAGGCAAAACAAAACATAGTCACAGCTTCAATGTTGCATTGAGTTGGTGATTGGTTTTAAAGCTCCCTTGCAATATTCCTGAGCTCCTCCTGATTGCACCCTCTCCATCTAAGCCCATAATGTTGCAAGTGATCCAAGGATCTCTTCTGATCAGTTTACAAAGAATAGCTGAAGTGAATCAAGATATTGCACTTCCACAAAGAGCAAAGACATTTGGAAATGGTTAAGTGACCTTTTTACCGCCCTGTCTCCCCATCCTGCTTTTCAGCTGCTCATCTCACTTTGGTGGCCGCTGAGCCATTGCCAAGATCTGGTTTGACACAACCAAACCTTGTGCTGCAAAACCTTTCAGCACTAACATTTTCATGATTAGTGATGATCTCTGTGGGAACAAGTCCCACAAATGCATTTATATTCGTGCTGAAGTGTTTTGCAGGAGTGGGCTCTTTCCCTCTCGCTCCTCAGAGCAGGGATAGTTCTCAGTCCTGCATTTGTGGAGGACCTGGCCTGGAATGGTTCTCACAAGGTTCTCCAGCAATAATAGCAATAATAATAACAATAATTACCTTGTCTGGGTCTCTAATAATTGTATCTAGTTTAATTACCAAAGCAGGCTCAAAATGCTCCCCCCATCATGGGCAGGAAAGCAGAGCTCACGTGGAACCTGGAATTTTGTGAGTTACCCCTCCTGCTAGAAGGAGCTGAGTGTCCTGAAAGTTGGTGGCACTTTTATCCTCTTGTCTTCTGAGTATCCCTTCATCTGTCACTTCCAGAGTTTGTCCTCCTGCATTGGCCTTCCCAGCTCCCACCTTTGAGAAGGGGGTTTGTGTGATTCCTGGGCTTTGAGACAACATTCAACCTCCCACAGTGACTTGTTGCTTGGGACTCCCCAAGTCTGAGCAATTAATTTACTGAAGATTCTGCCTCTTATCATAATCTAACATTTATGTGGAAAAACATTTGCACCATGAGGGTGGTCCAACACTGGAACAGGAAATCAGAGAGGCGGCAGGGTTTCCGTCCCTGGGAATATTCAAAAGTTGCCTGAGCAGGGCCCTGAGAAATCTGATCTCATCCCTTCTGATTTAAATTACTCTGTAATTTGATCATTATGAGCTCTGAAGGAGAGGACCTGTCATTTATGGTGAGTTTGTACACCACCTAAAATGATGGCGCTGCATTTGAAGTCAGTCTCTAAGCACCTTGATATCAACGTTGGCCAGAATAAATGTTCCTGGATCAAAAATAGCTTTACAAGAGTTTTGGGTGATTGAAAATAACTGCAGAACCAGGTGTAGCCAAACTTCTACTGCTTCTGGTGCAAACTGGGGGACAAAAGAGCTGAATTCGACCTTAAGTAGTTGTCCTCTAAGCCTAAAGTTGTTCTCACAGCCCCCAGAGCTTCACCTTTTGAAAGCAGGCATCTTGTTCTGCCATTAGGGTCTTGTGAATGCTTCTCACTCTATTTCAAGAATTATTTTTAAGGCTTTGAGAAAGGCTAAAAACCATTTAATAAATCTCTGCTGTGGTCATTTAGATAACCTGAGGGAGCATAACCACACTTATGTTCTGCAGGGATTTTCCCCCCTGGCATTGCAAGCAGAGTCCTTTATGATATCTTGGAGTGTTTTAAGGACAGGAGAAAAATTCCACCAGAGATTTTTGGCTTTGAGGGGAGGAGGAGGAGCACAGCAATAAGGCAGGGTGGGCAGAACCAATGGGAGCATCAGTATGGTAAGAGAAATGGGGGGAGGTGTTGATCTGGACTTCAGCTCCTCTCCAGGAGGCCACCTGCTCCCCTTTCTCTCAGGTTATCCAGGTTAGTTCTGGGTATCTCCAATATGTGCATAAGCCAAGTGGTTCATGCATGTTGTGGTGCTCTGTTATGGCCAGGAATTCACAGGCAGATCCCAAGAGAGCTCAAGTGTCATTTACAAAGGAATTTAGTTCAAGGAGGAGGATGGTTAAAAATCTTCACGCCAACGGAGGAACACCTTTGTGTTTTCACCCCAAATTCATATTTTTATGTGCTATTTCTCCTCCTCTCTGCAGCCTGCCAGGCCTGAGCAGAATCACAGAATCTCATTTATTTTTATTCATGTTTCACAAATGTCTTTTCCTCATCTGCAATTAGCACTAATGAGGCTAAACACTGCATTAGCCCAGCAAGGCAGGGCGGAAACTCTGGTGCAAACATCATGCAGCCGTTCCCATGGCACCATTGCCATGGTGTTTTTCTCTAGGGATTGCAGAGGCTCTGTCACCCCTCCAAATCCCTCCCAATCTGAGTTACGGAGAGCAGAGGGAATGTGGAAGGGTCCAAGTCTCTGCTGTGCCAGTCCTAGTCTTTCTCATGACCAATCCAATTGAATCCTTCTCCTTAGAGAGGCTAAGGAGGAAAATGGTGAGTTCAGACAAAGACAACACAATGCCCTTCTTTTGCTTCAAACCTGCACGTGGCTTTCCTCTTCACCAAGCCTGGTGTTTGGGTGGAAACACTCCCTGTGGGAATGTTGAACAGCAGGAGACAGAGGATGGCACATTTGGGAGGGATGCACAATCCCTCTTAGAAATTTTCACTTGGTAGTTCCATACTCGAGTTATGGATGCAGGGAGGAAAAGAGAGGAGCTGGGAAGACAGGAAGGGGAACAGAGTTTGAGAGGGGACAGAAACAAGGGTGGAGAATCTTGTAGGATAAGGTCTCCCAAAAATTCTCTGCCTAGACAGGCAAAGCTGTCTCTCCTTGGAAATATTGATGAAAACACCATGGCAAGCATCTGGTGAAGAACTTGGACTGCACAGGGGAGCTGTGGCATCTGCAATGCTGGAGTTTGTTAAGCACATGCTAAAGACAGAGTAGGCAGGGCTGGGTTAGGAAGAATTGATCCCTTTAGGAAAAGGGAATGAGTCAGTGAGCTCTCAGCACCTCTTCCAACTCCATTTGCTACAATTCCCTGGTTCTTGAGAGCCATATGGGCAAGAAAATAGACAAGTCTTGTTTAGTACTCATGCAGGAATGGAGTTACACTTCTCTTGCAGGCAAGCAAGTCTGTGCACATGTTTGGTAAAGAAAACAGCCCCTGCCACCTCCATGAGAGGCTGGAGCCTTTGCTTGTTGCCAGAGGTGAAATCCTAAAGGATTAGATGTGGGAAATGGTCACGAGCCAGCTGTTAGGGGAGAAAGTGGGCACTCACAGTACAGCCAAAAAGAAGTGACAGTCAGATTTCATCAATGACATCCAAACCAACATAAAAGTAGGCAAAATAATTAAATTATCTGTCTCAAAAGCAGTGGCACAGCAGCGTTAGAAGAGCATCTTTCACTTGCTGTGCACTTGAATCATCTCTAAGCCTGGCTTGTTACTATCCATAAGGGAAGAGCCCAGCCATTTCCTCCCGGATTTGATTACCAACGTGGATCTCCTCTATCTGCTTCCAGCAGGTTCCTTCTTCCAAAATCCTGCTTTGACTTTGGACAGACCTTCTCCAGGCTGAGCCAACAACCTCTTGGAAACACAGTCCCATGATTTCATAATGATAAATAGGAAAGGAGTTACTATTAAATACAGACATTCATCAGCTTTCCAGACCATCTAGGAAAATATAGTACTCTACATGTGTGAGCTGAGGAGGGGGAGGTGTCTCTTTTTTTCTCTGCCCTAGATCATATCAAATCCACTAAAGCCACTAAAGAATCTCTAGTGAAGTCTGTTCAGCAAACTGTTCTGGAACTGGCTCCATTTGGTGGAAGATCACAGAATTTGGGTAATGAGAAGACAGTGCCATTTTCTTCTGGTCAGGGAGAGAATGGATGGTGACAGAAGAAAAGAAGTGTCTCTGCTCCACCATTGTCAGAGTCTCAAATGCCAGATCTTTTTAAATAAAACTCAAGAACTGGGTCCATCTGTGTGTTTCATCGAAGGTGATGACAATCAAATAGAGAGGCTCATTTAAAGTGGGGGAAAATGCTTCGTATCCAGTAGTTACTTTGAGATTTTAGTCTCTGCTTCATTAGAGCTCTCCTGAACCTCAGATCAGTCCTCTTTACCTCTTTGCTGGAACATCTCACAAAGGAAAGAGAAGGCAGGAGAGCAGGGGAGGTGGGAAACAACATTGACGTGGCATCTTCTTCATCTCTTGAGTGGATCAGCCTGAAGTTGGTGGGTGGGAGCCCAGGTTATGCAGTTATGATGTCCCCGTGGTTCTCAGCTAACACCAGGCTGTTCCAGGAGTCCTGTTTGGAGCTGGTTTGGGGAGACTGGCTGATGGCTGACTGGTAACCCTGCGGGGAAAGCTTCAGAGCTGAGATCACAGGATGAATGGAGGATCCATGGCCGGACATGGCAGAGACTGAGAATGCCTGTGGAAAAAGGAGAATCCTGTGAACAAACCTTCCAACCATAGAGGAACATGTGAATCCACTTAGCTGGTGCTATTGTAATAATGTCTCTGGATTTGCTGCAGATTGCAGCTTATGTGTGATACCTTGGGCAGTCTCTTTCCTTCTTTTTCTAGAATCATGGAATCACAGAATGGTCTGGGTTGGAAGGGACTTTAAAGACCATCTTGTTCCAACCCCCCTGCCATGGGCAGGGACACCTTCCACTAGACCAGGTTGCTCAAAGCCCTGTCCTACCTGGTGTTGAACACTTCCAGGGAAAGACCCTGTTCTTTCCTACTGCTGCACACACACCATGTGGTTCTCTTTTAAATGTCAGAAATTATCATTTTGCTTCCCAAGGCTTAAAATTTCCTTGGCCTTGGGCTCTTCTGGCTTTCAAATGAAAACATCTTGTGTGAATCCACATCGTGCTGGTCCGCAGACATCTAGTGGTGGCTGTGGTACAGATCACACCACTTTACCCTGCAGCTCTCTGCCCTCATGCTCATATCACCCAACACTCAGCCAGCCAGTGCAGAGAAAGTAGGGAAATGTTGCCAGGGTTTCCCTTGCTCAAGACAGATCAAATCATAGAAAGGTAATGGGTATTTTTCTGCTATGGGACATGTAAAGCTGCCCAACTAAAAAGAATTTAATATTTTCAAACAGCAGAATTTAATGTTTTAAAAAAAGCTGCTACTTCCTGTTGTCTGTTTAGAACAGCCACACATCATTAAAAAGCCTAATTGACAAAAATCTGAGGTTTTACCCCATCCTGAAGGATAAATCTCTCACTGGGAACTCCTAGACCCCTGAGGTGAAAAGAAGCAACCTTTTTCCATAGAGATTCGTAGAATCAAAGAATGGGTTGGGTTGGAAAGGATATTAAAAATCATCTCATTCCAACCCCCTGCCCTGGGCAGGGACACATTCCACTATCCCAGGTTGTTCCAAGCCCCTGTCCAACCTGGCCTTGGACACTTCCAGGGATGGGGCAGCCACAGCTTCTCTAGGCAACCTCTTCCACTGCATCACCATCCTCACAGGGAAGAATTTCTTCTTAATGTCCAATCTAAACCTACTCTCTTTCAGTTTGAAGCCATTCCCCCTTGTCCTGTCACTCCAGGGCCTTGTAAAAAGTCTCTCTCCATCTTTCTTGTAAGCTCCTTTCAGGTACTTACCTCTAAGTACCTAAGTAACATTTTGAGGATGTTCTTTTCCCCAAGTCTACTGTCCTAATTCCCATCTTTGTCCCACTACCATCACCTCCCCTCTGTACCTGAGAAACCGGGCTGGGGTGCCCGTAGTGAGATGAGAGCCCGGGCTCGGTTTTTATGGGCCGCATTTCCTCGGTGGTCGTGGCGCTGCTGCTGCTGCTGGTGGAGCTGGTGGTCGGGGTAAGACTCTCGCTGCTGGATGGGCCTGGGAGAAAGCAGGTGGAAAACCAGGCTCTTTCCAAAGACCTTTCAGTGCAGAGCCGTACCCACCCACCCGCCAAGAAGTTAGTGTGGTAAAAACAGATTAAAAAGTAGCGGGAAGGGCTTTGTTGCTGCTGAGAGGCATTCAGACATTCCCCATTTCTTCTGGAAAATCAGCCTGTTTTGTGGTTGGATCTCTGGCTCATACAACAGCGTGGTCAGAAACACAAATGCAAACTTGTACACATATCATAAACTCCTCCTGTTCAACACTCACCTGCTGGTGTCTTTGTTTTGTTAAGGTTCTTCGGCTTGCGCTTCCTCGTCTGAATGCCCTCTTTTCTCATTGCTAAAGGCCTGGGAACCTGTGGATCCAAATATAAAAGCCCATTGGTTTCTGAGGGTCCTTAAGGTTATCTAGGAGAACGTGATTCCAGCTCTACCTTGTGGGCTCCATGAAAACCGGGTGATTTAACTGGAAACAGCAACAAGATGGAGCCCAGATTCCCTGGTCTCTTCTGTGTGAAGAGAGATGTCAGTGCTCCAAGATGTGCATCCAAATGGGAATAGGTAGGCAGCTCACACCTTGGGTACTGAGTGTTTTAAGGCCAGAAGGAACAACAACTCATCTGATTGAATTTCCTGTATATATTTCAGAACAAAAACACTCTTTCTAGCTAATACCTGCTTTTGGGAAAGGTACCAAGCCTGTGTGGGGTGACCCCCCTTAGGAGCTGATCCCACTGAAGTGGGACAGTCAGAAACATGCTGGGATTTCTAGGAATAATTGGTAAGGCTTCCCACTTGTCTTCCAGCTTTGACCTGTCTCTCATGAATCCGTCTACTCTGAGTCACTGAACATCACTGAAAGCAAATTTAGTCAGGTATAAACTGTTCAAGCAATAAATACAGGAAAATAAAGCAATTATTTATTGCTTTATATGATTTTTATTGTATTTAAAGGTGTATAAAATTGCTAGGAGCAACAGTCATAGAATCCTGGAATGGTTTGGGTTGGAAGGGATCTTAAAGACCATCTAGTTCCAACCCCTCTGCCATGGGCTGGGGTTGGCCACTAAGAGACCACCAGGGTGTTGAAGGCCTCTGAATCTGCCATGGGGGTGGTCCTGTTGTCACTGACTGATGAGAGAAAGGTTGAAGATTTGCATCTTGAAGTCCTGCTATGCCTTGGCCTCCAGCAGGACTCTTCTGGATATATCACACATGACATCAATACACAAAGCCCCCACTGACAGGAAGAGACTGTCTAGACTTTTCTGCAAGAAAAGTCACCCATCAGTCCCTGACAAGTCTGCAGCCAAGCTGTAGCTGGGATCTGACACCCTGGTGGAGGAGCTAGGTGGGGAGAATCTGGGCCTGAATTTAGGTGGGAAGAATCTGGACCTGGTTTTATTAGGTTTTAAGACTTTGTTGCAGAGGGGACCTAATGAGCATGTGAGAAATGCCCTGCATGCATCCCTTGCCAGTATAACCAGGATGTTGAGGTGCACTAAAACCCAAAGGAACAGCAGGAAGAACAGCTCCAGGAGAGCACAGAGTTGTGTGAAGAACCCAATTCCCGGCTTGGTGCTATGGGCACCCTCCCACAGAGAGTAGAAATCACTGTGTTGATCCACATGTTACCCCATGGAGCTTCATGTAGAGTCCACAGGCGTTGCAGACGGGCTCTCCCTCGGCGTTCCTGCGCCACAGCGTGGTTGTGGTCGTGTGGCAGTTGGCACAGGAGAGGCCGACGCGGCGAGACGCCGACTGCGGGGAGATGCAGAGAGAGAAAACTCATCAGCCCTCCCCTGTTGCCACTAGCAGCGTCCCAGATCCCAGTGAGCTCACACCAGTATGCCCCAGGTTTTCCTTTCCTCTTGCCTCTCTTATTTCTCTGTTTTTTCCTCTTTCTTGTCTTTTGCAGTGGGTGACACAGCTGCCTTTTGCTGCCTCTCTCGCCTTTCGGCTTCTGCTCCACTGCCTTTCCACTGCCTCATGCCTGCCAGGATGTCTCAGCTGTCCTGGCACATCTCAGATGGTGCCAGAGACATAAAATAGAATCATTTAGGTTGGAAAAGACCTCCAAGATCATCAAGTGCAACCTTTGATCCTCGCCTTGTCAACCAGACCAGAGCACTGAGTGTCATGTCCAGTAGTTTCTTGAACACCTCCAGGGATGGGGACTCCACCACCTCCCTGGGCAGCCCCTTTCAATGCTTGACCACCTTTTCAGTGAAGAAATTCTTACTGATGCCTAGCCTGAACCTCTCCTGGCACAGCTTGAAGCCATTTCCTCTTGTCCTGTCCCCTGGGAGCAGAGCCTGACCCTCCCTGGCTCCACCCTCCTGTCAGGAGTTGCAGAGAGTGAGAAGGTCCCCCCTGAGCCTCCTTTTCTCCAGAATCACACATCACCTGAACAGAGGCCCAGACTGCCAGCAGATCTAGTAGCAGCTTGGAGACCCTCTACACCTGTACACACTTACACTAAGGTGTCTGGATCTCAGACTGTCCCACCCTTTCAGACTTCCAAACCCTTCGCTTTCCAGGCATCATGGCTATCCCAAGAGGATGTTTTCAATGCCATGAATGTTACATACTCCTTTCTGGCTTTATGTGATGTGACTCATGTGGCTTGAGAGGAAGATAAGAAAAAGAGAGCTTCCAGCAGCATTGTCTTCCTAAAAGTCGATGGGATAATGGATAGGAATCCCCACTAATGTGCAGGGAACAGGCCTTCTGAAGTTCCCTATCTGGGTTAACTGATTTAGCTCAAAAGGCCACAGGAGAAAACAATGGGCTTGAAAACATAAAAAATACAAGTTTTGAGCTTGGAAGCTGAGTGGGAGGTGGAAGAAGAAAAAGCCACAAGTTCCCACCTGACTCTTCCCAGCGTCCTTCAAAGCTCAGCTCTTAGAGGCTGAGGATAAAGTCTGAATGGGCAGGGATCAAATTCCCTCTTTGCTTGCTGATAAATTTGGGACTGAACAGAAGGATGAGAGCTGTGTGATAATGTCTGTTCTCGTGAAGAGGAGCCTACAGGGAGGAAATCTGGTGGTCTTGGACATCCAGCCAGCTCTGCAGCCCTGAACAGCACAGCTGGCATCTGTGTAATAGGGTGAAAGCCTGGGAGATGAGGACCTGGCGGCTACCAGGAACTTCCTCTGTGATCTTTGCCACAGCTTTCTCTCCATGTCTTTTCCATCATTATTAAATAGGATCAGTTAATCTACAGCTGTAGCACAAGAAAAAATTGAAACTCAGAGTACTTCTTAAGACTTTGAAAGCTGGAAACCCCTTTGCTGCATAGAAACCAAACTTTAGTTGTAATCTTACCATGTTTTAGCTTTGTTCATAAGTGGAGTGAGAGTTTAAGAGAGAGCTTGCAGCAAAGGCAAAGGTCTCCCCTAGCAGGGCTCTCTGGAATATCTCAGTCTCAAAAAAAACCTGGATTACACAGTCACAGATTAAACCAAGTCACTTGCACTGAATATATTTATTTAGGCAGATCACTTGGCATTACTTTCACCACACCCCTGTGTTGCATCCAGAGACATGTCCTCCCTTTCTTCATGGAAATTATATTCTGGAGGAAAAAGCAGAAATTTGGCCACTTTTGCAAGATTTCTAGATTACCAGCTGCCCAGCCAAGTGACGAAAGTGCGCATAAGGATCTGCACAACTCATGGATTTATATTTCTTATGGAGTTTTCCAAGCCTTATCCCGAGACTGTGCAGAGATCCATTGCTGTAAAGGACCAACCCTGATACCCAATGGGCCATTCCTGACTATACAGATAATCTGTAGGCCAGGAAATGAGAGAGAGAAGGTCCTGGGTGCCAAGGCGAAATCCTGCCTGGATCGGTGCAGTGTCTGGAAGGGGTTTTCACAAGAGGGCGCTGGGTGTCTGTGGTTGGTGGCAGCGCTCGAGCTGCCGGTGGCATTTTTGACGCTTGCAGGGGACGGCTGGGTTTGAGCACAGACAGGTCTGAGCGACGCAAAGGGCGGGGCAGGTTGGTGATGGAGCCTCGTGGAAGACAAGGATTAGGAAAACAGGCTCTCAGGGGTGCCTCGGTGGCTCCTTTCTGCCTGAGGTTGTGATGGACTCGTGTCCCTGAGGACACAGAGACCTTCCCAAAGGTCCCTCACCAAAATGGGCAGGGACAGATGGGATATCAATGTCAAGCTCATAAAATCCCAGAATGGTTTGAGTTGGAAGGGCCCTTAAAAGCTCATCTTGTTCCAACCCCCTGCCATGGGCAGGGACACCTTCCACTAGACCAGGTTGCTCCAAACTCCATCCAACCCGTCTTTGAATGTTTCCAGGGATGGGGCAGCCACAGCTTCTCTGGGCAACCTGTGCCAGGGCCTCACCGCCCTCACAGCCAAGAATTTCTCCCTAATATCTAACCTAAATCTACTCTCAGTCAGTGTGAAACCATTCCCCCTTGTCCTGTCACTCCATGTCTTTGTAAAAGGTCTCTCTCCATCTTCCTTGCAGGCTCTCTTCAGGTGCTGGAAGGCCACAGTTAGGTCACTCCAAAGCCTTTTCTTCTCCAGGATGAACCCTTCTGTCCCCCAGGTTCCTCATGCATACCCCACCCTGACTCCACAGATTTTGGGATACCCTGACCTGCCCCTCAAGATCTGTTTCAGCTCAACCAATGGAGCCAGGAGCAGGGGATCCAGAAAAGGTGTCCAGTCACCAGGAAGTGAGAGGGGTCATCCAGCAGTGACCAGGCAATAAGGACCCTAGGGGTAAGAGGGATACTACAGCAAAGAGTGGCTGTTGCTAAATCAACACCAAAGTACTGCTCTTTGTCCTAGAGCCCCTTCCACTGCCTGGCCTGAGTGCCTGGAGAACTGGTCTGGACAGTACAAGGCCTTGGAGTGTCACAAGCACGAGAAAATCTGACTTATTTTGGAAATCTGGACCAAAACCACCTAAGCTGGGCAGATGGGGATCCAAGGAGTTGAAACATCGCTGTCACCTCCAGCTAGCCCAGGTCTGTGCCTCATCCTCACCCCACACGCGTTGTGTGATCGGGACTTACCAGCCTCCTCTGGGGTTTGAACAGGGGCCGGTTGATGCCGTTCATCTTGTGGTAGAGCCCGCAGGCGTTGCAGAGGTAGTGCCCCGTGCCATCCCTCCTCCAGAGCGGGGTGGACATGGCCCCACAGTTGACACATTCTCGCCCCTCGGAATAATCGTCAAAGAATTCTGCTGCCATGGCGGGAGAGAAGGGAAAACACTTGGTTAATTAGGTGGCCATACATTTAATTACTGCTCTGGTTCTCAGCTTAGCCCAGAAAGGACATTTTAAAAAAATCACAAAGCATTCAGGTTTTGTAGGTTGCAAGAAACAGCTCTTCCTTTCCCAAGGAAGCCCCCAGGGTTATTGGGAAGAGGGACTCCTTTCCCTGCCATACAGTGTTGGCTGCAGGACTTCAGTGGCAGCAGGGATGTGCTGGGACACGGATACCGGGAGACAGAAATAGAAACCTTCCCTTCTGCTCTGACGTTATCCAATTTTCAGGACTGGACATAGCCAGGGCAAACAGATTGGGACAGGCAAACGGCCGTGTTTACAATCCAGACAAATTCCTGTGACCATGGATAAACACAGGCCTGGACCCACAGAGCAGAACTGCTCCAACATCAAAGAGCTGCCAGAGCATCTCAGTGGGGCAGGAAGGCTGTGCTGTGTGCTCTGCTCCCCCATGGAAATGCTCCTCACCCAGCCCATCCCATCCCAACTCCCTCCCAGCCCTTCCCCAAGGGGAGAGATGTTCATGTACCTCCTCCCTGTTCTCTGCAAGAGAAGCATCTCCTGAGCTACACAAATCCACATGTGCAACATGAAGGTTCCCTGCCCATGGCAGGGGGTTGAAACAAGATGATCTTTAAGGTTCCTTCCCACCAAAAATACTCCATGATTCTGTGATTCTAACCCCAGCTCACACTGACAGATAAGAGGCATCATTGGGCATTAATATGTGTCAGAGGCTCAGCTTTTGATGGAAATCTCCATCGTACTTGATGTCACTATCCAGGACTTGGTGCACTCACCCATCACCTTCCTGGTTCATCCTGCACCAGGCTCAGCTGCAGATGTGATATGAGAGCGGGGACAATTGGGCCTGGAGTGACAGGACAAGGGGGAATGTCTTCACTCTGACAGAAAGCAGGGTTGGATTGGATGTTAAGAAAAAATTCTTCCCTGTGAGGGTGGTGAGGCCCTGGCACAGGTTGCCCAGAGAAGCTGTGGCTGCCCCTGGATCCCTGGAAGTGTCCAAGGCCAGGTTGGATGGGGCTTGGAACAACCTGGGATAGTGGAAGGTGTCCCTGCTCGTGGCATAGGGTTTGGAAGGAGATGATCTTTAAGTTCCCCTCCATCCTAAACCATCCTGGGATTCTATGAACTGCCCTGGGCTGGGCCAGTCCAATCCCTCTGACTGTGGGAGGTCCAGATCATCTGCAAGGCGATGCAGAGGTCAGCACAACACACCTCAACTGCATCATCATTTGGAAAGACATAAATCAGCTCACCCTTCCCTACAAAGCCTTCAAGAAGCCAAGAACATCACTGTATTTCGTGCTTGTCCACCTGCTTGTTATATGAGTATCTCATATATGAGATACTCATATATGAGTATCTTCCTGCTGGAAGACAATAAGTCTCCAAGGAGCAAACCGAAAAAATTTGGCTTCTTGCCGAGCTGTCTCAACCTCAAGTGGATTCTCTGATATCCAGCAGGGGTTATGTTCAGACATCAGCCTTATTTTCTCTTTTACCCAGACTATTTTTGGAAAATCTGCAGGAAACTGCATAACCATGGAGGAGCCAAAGGATTAAAAAAATAATGAAGTGGCGCCAGTAAAGAGAGACCCAGAGAAAAAGATTTACAGGAGCCTGATTCTGCCTAGAAAATCAGGCTAAAAATTCTGAGAGGTTACACCATGTGCCCATGAGGAAATGGTAGAAAGCAGTACATGAGTGTATCCAAGGGGCTCTGGAGCCAGAAAAGCAGGAATCCAATATCTTCTCAGCAGCTTAGGAAAATTACTCTCGAGCAATCCTGGTGGTTTCAAAGAGACGGGAATCCCTCCAGGTGATTTTTATCCACATGGATTCAGTGATACCACAACCATAATGCCTCGCTTTCCCCTTTAAAATGGCAATTGAGTTACAGCCAAAATCTAGATCAAATAAATTCCCTTTGAAAAGAGAAGGGATTGGAACAGCTGGTCAGGAAAGAACTCATTTCCTTGAAAAATCTCAAGAAAGGAAAACATTTCACTTTTTTTTTTTTTTCATCTTAGAAGTTGTCGAGGTTTTTGATTATCGTTTTCCAAAGAAAAAGGCAAATTATTTTCACAGTAATTTTTGTCCTGTGAGAAAAATCACTTCTTCTTTGAAAGTAATTCGTGGACATAATCCAGGGAGAATTTAGCAGAGCAGAGGTAATCAAAAGGCAACAGTTGAAAGTTGAGTGATTTGAGTTGTGTGACTAACTACAAAATACAATCTTTCCTGGACATTTCTCTACCAGAAAAACAAAATATGGAAGTTTTTAATCAAATAAAAAGGAGGAAATCCTAATGTCTCTCAGAAATGCTAAGAATTGGACTAGCTCTTCAATAAGAAGGTCTCTGAAAATGATTTTGATATGAAGAAATGTCAAGTATGGGCATATTTCTGTTTTTAGGAAAAAAAGAAGAGGATGTGGAGTAGAAACCAGGCAAAGTGTAAGTCTCTTGTTTTCTGAAAATAATCAAATCTGCTGCTGAGTGTTATTTCCCAAGAGTTTGTGTGGCACCCAGCTAATTTGCCCACATTATTTTCACTGGTGGTTGTCATCAGACGTCCAAAACACCAGTACAAACCAGTCTTGAGACTTGCTCTCCTTTCCAATCTGTATTTGTCTGAGCTGTATTCTTCCCTTTTTCTTTGGTGGGTTTGGTTTTGATTTTGGTTTTTTTTTTTCGGTTTACGTGGGATTTGAACTGGAACTTCTCTCCTGAGGGACTTGCATAGAATCATAGAAACATAAAATCACAGAAAGTTTTGGGTTGGAAGAGACTTGAAATATCATCTCCTTCCAACCCCCTCCCATGGGTGAATTGCTCACTAGACCAGATTACTCAGATTCCCATCCAGACTTTCACTGGTTTAATTTTCTAGAAGTCGTCGTCTTCCAATAATAATAATAATAATAATAATAATAACAATAATAATAATAATAATAATAATATAATAACAACAATAAATAATAATAGTAATAATAATAAATATTTGTGCGATTTTCCCTCTCAGCTGCAGACAGAGGTGATCCTTGGGAATGTTCTTAAACAGGAATCAGACGGGGAAGGCACAGACTTTGTTCCCAGGGCACACGGAGGCTCCACGCGATGGGTGGCTCTCCCTAATCACGGGGCCATATCAGATGGGTGCGTCCCCTACGTGCACCACCCTGTGCTGAGTCAGAAGATGACATCCACGGAGTGCAACCTCATTAAAAACATTCCTGGAGCCCTCTCAGAGCTCCTTGACCTCCAGAGATACCACCTGGAGGAAAAATATCCTCACCTGCTCCAAAGCGAGCTTGAGGATGGCAAAGGAAATGTCTTGGACACTGCTGGATATTGGCTTAGAGAAGATGGCATGGGCTTAGTGCATGTCCTTTAATTAACAAAGGATGTTTGGGCCCCAAAGAAGGAAGACAAGGGACTGGATTTCTTTCTCAAAGAAATTATATATATATGATTTCATGGCATCACTAAATTTAGGGATGAAGTTTTCAAGGGGAGCTTTCTGAGCTGTCCTTCCAGCCACACCCGCTCTCAAAAACCTGAGGGTCTTCAAAATAATGAGAAGATATCACCTGAAGACCCACAGCCCACGTGGTTTGTTGTGAGTGGGTGTCCAAGACCTAGGAAACCCAAATGTTCCCAGGGCTCCAAGCCCACAGGAACCAGGATGCACCATCAGTCTGAGCTATATTGGGCATGGAGGTCACTGGGCTTCAAGTGCACTAATTGTTTAATTTGTCACTGTTATTAATAATGGGGATTAGGGAGACTCCCCAGGAAAAAGCAGCAAAGTGTTTTCTTGGCTTCTGTCTCGGGGCTGGAGCTCTAAATCCTGGCATTATGAGATCTCCTGACACTTATTCCTTGTACTTAGCAGCCGGGAAAGGAAACGTTTATTCAGGCAGCAAATTGCCCGAGCGGCTCCCGGAGGGCCCTGAACAATGAGGGGGGAAGGAAAGGCTCCCCCAGTCACACTCAGGGCAATAATTTCCGTCCCGTGGCACAGGAGCCGCTGCCTGATAATGGAGATTTATGGGTCCATCCGGTGACCTCTGTAACAGCCTTTCTGCTGGAAAGATTTACTCCCTCTCCCAAAGCCAGGTATGGCCAGCAGTGGGACAGGATTGGGGGAAGGATAAGGTTTGCTGATCAGGCTGAGAAGGACGCCAGCTCATGGCTGGAGTAGCCTTGTGTTTGCTGAGTGGCCTCATCTTCCTCTTTGAACTCCCCCACGTGCCTTTGTAGAGGCCTTATCTTGTATAATATCAGTCTTTGGATCATTTTATGGGCTAGGCTCCTGGTGTTGACTAATGCTGATGGCCCTCTACTTAATTCTTCATAAAACCCTGCCTTTAGTCAATGAAGGAGCTTGTCACGTGAAAGCAGATCATGAAATGTCTCTGAATGACCAGCAGAGAGGACAGATTGTGTCCCATCCCTATCCTGGTCATCATCTTGCTCTGTCAAAGGAGATTTTTTCCCCTCACACCTACAGTTTATGGGCACTGCAAGGTCTCCAGGGCAGGAAATGTCACTTGTGTGTTGCACAACAGCCTCCTAATCTTGGGTGAGGCCTTGAGCACACTCATGTCAGAAATACTTTCCACAATGGGACATTCAGTCCCCAGGGAGCCAGGAGCAACTCCTAAGTGGGGTGCTGGGGTCTTGTAGGGAAAAAGAATTCTTGGATATGGTCCTTCATGACTCTTAGTCATTGGGAGGGGTCCTTCACATCCACCTCCAGGTCTGAAGGGATCAACCTTTAGAGACAATGCTGGGATCAACAACAGAGCAGATCTGAGCACGGCCAGCCCACCCCTACAGGCACTTTTCCTAGCATAGGAAGGTCATGACAGCATCTCTGATCGAGGACATGGCTCACCCAAAGCCTGAGGACTTTTGCCTTCCCA